CATCAACAGAGTATTAATGTGAATCAATGTCTTGTCTCTGGCTGTTGTTTAGAAGCCATGAAGTTGCATAACCAAGCTATGAAGGACCGATATGAAGAACTTTCCATCTGGCGAGAGAAGCAGAAAGAAGAAAGAGAATTTTACGAGATAAAGTTTAAGGAGGCTAAGCAGTGCTTGTTAGCCAAGTGCATTGAAAATGAACAGCTACAGCAACAACTTCAGAGCTTAAAGGAAAGAGAAGAAGGAGCTGAAATGGTAAATAAAGAATTGGTTGGGTTTACTTAATTTTAAATTGGAAGTCAGGAGCCTTTGTTTCCCTTCAGCACACTGGGATGTTTGGAGATTTGTTAACATCTGCATTTTTATCATTATGCTCTAACAACGAAGAGGTCTTGGCCTGACTTATTTTTATAAAGTGACTCTTCTCAGAGTGTAGTAATTGTGCCACACCTGAGATAATTTATCTTTTAATTATCAATAATAATTAATGTTCTTGACATAAGAAATTTACATTTCTTGCTAACTTTTTATTCTTTTTATTTACTGTTGGGTCTCTAGACTTTATCCCTCCCTTTGCTCATTAGATTATCTACCTCTCATGATCATTTAATTGCTTTTATATTTGTGTTTCCAGGGAGAAGTTGACATGTAAGCAGAAAAAAAAATTACCTGCCATCTGTTTTTATTGTATCATTCTCCTCTCATGAAAGCTCTTTACTGAGGTCAAATTAAGTCTGTTCTTCTGCTGCCCCATTTGAGTCTGACTGAGGTTCCTCCCTGTCTTACCTTTGGCTCTGTTACACATTATTTCTAATGTTGCTGGTGATTGCTTAGTAGCCAAGCAACATTTTGCAGGTAGTACTGCATCTATGGACAAAGCCTATTAAAATGAAACCTGCTTTGTGGCCCACATGATCATGTGAAAAGGTGTTTAATGACAAGTTTCACACAAAGCCAAAGTGATGCATCCTGGTGTCTGGTACCTCCAGGACCCACATGGAACCTCTGTTGTTTGATGCAGGATGAGTGCACTAGCCTTTTTCTCAACAGACACCAGTAGACTCTCCTTTCCTCCCCTGACTGCCTATTTTATGAAACTCTGTAAGAAATTTTTCAGCATGTAAATCAAAATTGGCCAATGAGCTCAGAAGATAAAAAGGGGAAGAAAGTAAAGTATAAATAGTGTGATTGTTTAAGTATCACTTACGCAATCTTTACAGGCTAAAAGTTGTGTTTCAGGATTGTCAAGGAAACTCAGAATTTCATGTATCTGGAATAGTTTCTAAGAGGAAGTAGAGGATTTATTCTGCCTTCACCTGTTTTAGAACTTCTTTTCGTTTGAATACTTAACGTATGTTGTTGCCAGAGTGATCCAACCTGCTTGAGTAATCCAACATTCAGAAAAGTAAAAATAAATCTCTTTATGGAGCTCATGGAATGAGATAATAAGAGTTAGCCCTGGTTCTTCTGTGATTCTTAGCAGTTTTATCAGACAGTGATAACTGTAATTTAAACAGCAACATTTTCACTTCTCATTATGATTTTCAGGCTGACAGTGTCATTTAAGCCAAAATTACTTTCTTTCATGAATGCCTTAGTTCTACTTTAATTCTTTTGTCTTTTTTAATTGTTTAGAAAGAGCATGAAAAAACTTCTTCTAACAGAAACAGTAATTTAAAATTAGTCTCATTTGTCTCACTTCTGTGTTTTACTGTTAACTGAGATAGAATATAGTCCATTGCTACCATTGTGACATCTGTTTCACTCAAAGTAAATCACAGATATATTGTGTTGCCTCCCTTAGTGATAAACCAGCATTCATAGGAGGATTTCTCTCAAAACTGTAACTCTGTAAGCACAGGTTGCTCTAAGGCTCTCTCTTCTTTATTGGAGCTGACTCTTAATGGCATCCTCTTACAGCATAAGCACAGAATCAGAGACAGCAGCAAGTCAGGTGGATAGGGTCGTACTGCAGGATGAGAGACACGGTCAGCATAGCAAGAGTTTGGAGATTTGGCATGAATAACAGATTAGAATGTAATTCAGACTCCAGGGGTTGTCCAGAATTTGCACTGTTGGTATGTGATGTGATAAAGGCATTACCAGGAGATGGAAAGCTTGGACTACAAAATGGGGAAGAAACAAACTCACAGGGAAAGTTTCATAATGGGGGGAGGCATCTAAAGGAGAGGAAAAAAATGAGGCTTCCTGGTTATGTAGAAGCTTAGCGAGGATCCTGGGAAAAGGGAAGAGGCAGAAGGTGAAGGAGATAGTCAGGACTGGAAGGAGAGATTAAGTTTTGGGAGTATATCTGAGGGACAGAGACTTTGTGGAAAGGAAGGGATATAGGGTGAGATTTATACATGGAGATGGGGTACAGAGCAGTTGTGTGGTGGGGAAAGTCTGAAAGTGAGGTGTGTGGAAAAGCCCTCTACACACTGGTCTTTTCTCACTAGAATCTTAAGTAGATTTGGAAAAAGAGAAATAAGGATATGGGTCAAAAAAATGCAGTAATTCTGGACAAGAATTCTGTAAGTTGGCCAGGACCCTATGTGTCGCTGAGAGGCCTAGATTCAGGCAAAGATGTACATCCTAGTTACCTGTGCATTTAGCAAACCAGGCCCATGTTTTCCAGAAGCGTGATGCTCGTCATTTGATTAACTTGGTTTCTGAGTTTAGATTTGCAGTCTAGTGGACCAAAGCTTAGTGTGGAGATCTGTACTTCTGATTTTTCCAGGCAAATCTAAGCAGAGAATAAGGGATGTGGGACACTATTGTTATGTTCAGGCTCTGTGCTCCTTGGGTGGTGTTTTCTTTTGCTTGTCTAATGCAACGTTGGTTTATCCTAGGAGGGCTGCGTGGCTCCCGAGAAGGAAGTGAAGCAGCTGAAATCCCAGGTGCAGCGGCTCCAGGCTGAGAAGGCAGATCTGCTAGCCATCATTTCAGAACTGCAGGTCAAGCTGAACATCTCAGCAGAGGATTCCTTTGTGGAGATCGGGATGAGCGTGAGTGAGGGGAATAAAAAGGACACAGTGACCTGTGGCCAGAAACTTTTTGGTTCCAGTTTGGTCCTCCTTTTTTTTTTTTTTTTTTTTTTTTTTTTGCTAACTGAATTTTCTTCTTGTATCAGGCTAAGTGATGAGGAAGTATAATTGCAGTGATGATGTTTACTTGATGACATTCCACAGTGAGGTATTTAGCACCCTGTCTTCCTTTAGAAGAAAGGGTGAATCTATACCCATGTCAGTGAAGTCTTTATGCCTCCTTGAGGGGGAACAGCAAACTGCCAGCCACAGTAGTTACACAAGATACATTACTGGGAGAAGAGTTGCATGGGTTTTTTAGATTACCTGATCTGGCGCACTTGTGTTTGTGCTGGTTTTGGCTAGGATAGAGTTAATTTTCCTCACAGTAGCTAGTATGAGGCTATGTTTTGCATTTGTGCTGAGAATAATGTGATAACACACTGATGTTTTAGCTGTTGCCAAGCAATGCTTACATTAAGCCAAGGACTTTTTCAGCTTCTCATACTGACCCTGTCAGAGACACAGCCAGGACAGCTGACCCAAACTGGTCGAAGGGATATTCCATACCATAAGATGTCATTCTCAGTATATAAGCTGGAGGGGAGCTAGTCAGGGTAGGGGGCGTGCAATTGCTGTTCAGAGACTGGCTGGGCATCAGTCAGTGATGGCGAGCAGTTGCATCACTTGTTTTTCTTGTGTTTTGTCTCTTTTGATGTTTTTTTTGTTGTTTCCCTCTTCATTACAATTTAGTAGTAGTAGTAATATTTTATTTCATTTCAGTCATTAAACTGTTGCTGTCTCAACCCACAAGTTTTCTTACCTTTTTCCTCCTATTTTCTTGTGGAGGGCTTTTTCTTTTGGAAATGGGGCTCTCCTGACAGATATGCAGAGATGCAGGCAAACAAAACTAAGTGCAAAGCTGTAGAATGTTCCCTAGAGGCACAAAAATGTACTTTTTCTACTGTTCTTGTATCTGAAAAATCTTCACAGGCAAAATGTTAAATGTGAAAATGTGGCTCTCCCCTATCCCCCTGGTACCAAATCCCTCTCTGGGAAGTACAAGTGCAACAAGAAATTGAGAGAATTTAATTAAAACTTGTTTGGAGTTGTCGAAGAAAACTCCAGACTGCAGGAAACCTGCGAAGATTTTCCTTTGGGCTACAGAGATCAAGGAGTGAGTTTTTTAGAGGGAAAGAAGAGTGGCTCTTTTGGCATGCAGGAGAGTGGTGTTTAGGCTTACATTTAACATCACCTGCAGGGATGTTGGCTGTTGCTCTGTGGTGCCCAGTCATCTTTAGAGGGGAGTGTGGCTATGGAAGTTGCTGATGAAAGGAGAAGGCCAAGTCTCATTGTTGTTCTTCTTCTTTGGTCAGTCTGGAAGAGATATAGGGGAAGGCATGTGAAGTATTTATGTTAAGAATTTCCAAACATGAAGCTGATCTGTAGGAGTGTTTTATTTATTTTTATTGCCATGGTAGGAGTTTTCCCTGTTTTTCATCCTTCCTTAACCCAAGTAAATAATACTGTCAGGCTTAGTCCAGAGATCAAGCTAATAGTGTTGTTTTTTTTTTTCCTTTCCTAGGAAGGAGAAATAAATAGAACTGCAAAGGAACATCGAGAAAATAGTGGTGAAATGGCCAGTAACGTTGCTGTCTACATGTATGTAGGTTCTTGTGTGATGTATGTGATTCAGACTTCTGCAATGTGTTTTATTTTCAATGTGAGAAACTTTTTTCTATGAGGAATGGACTAGAAAATTCTGGTTTTCTGCAGCCTTGCATCCCTCCATTGCATGTGTGATGCATGTGATTCAGACTTCTGTAATATGTTTTATTTTCAATGTGAAGAAACTTTTTTCTATGAGGAATGGACTAGAAAATTCTGTTTTTCTGCAGCCTTGCATCCCTCCATTGCATTAGCTCTGCCTCCCTATTGTGTCAGAAAAACCCTTAAGCTCTGACATTTTAACTTCCGATTTTCAGTAACTGACAAGAGGGAGTGCATATTCTGGCCAATTGGCCAAGCGTTTATGTACGTTCTGACTTGCCAGCTTTTCTGGATTTTAAGGGAGGCCAAAGAGAAAAGATGAAGATAGAGACTGCAGAGACTCTCTCTGTACTAGGCATTTGAGATCATCTAATAGAGTATCTGTCTTCTACCCAATTATAATGAAGTTTGTAAGAATCAAAGGTCTCATCGTCTTTCAGATCTGAACCCTGTCTGTCCTGTTTATGTGTGGCTGGTATAAAATGTATCACAGTGGGGTAGACAGACAGTGCAGTGACACAGTCCTTAATTTTCAGGTGACTAGGCTTAAGATACGAGCATTCTATTTAGGTAACTTCTCAAAATTTGATCTTTACATCATCTCTAAGACACAAGGGACTTTCTTGCCCCTAGCTGAACCTTTACTCCTTGTGGACTTAGACAGCTGATACTATTAAACTTTCCATTTTGGATACTGCCCAGTTTAGCAGCTAGATGGTTGTGGCTGAACTGTCTTATTTACTTTGTGGCCTTTGCTTTTGGAAGGAGAGGATATAGAAAATGCTAAGGACATAGCAGGCCAGAAAGCTGAGCTGCATGTGCAGGCTTTCTCTTAAATCCCATCTCTCCCTACATCACTGCAAGGGAGAACAGTGTTTTAATGTAATGACATAGAAAACTTGTTCCTAAGCATGCAGTTAAGAAGTTGAAGGGGGAGGAAATAAGTTATGGTCATAGATGAAACTGAGAGAATTGCTGACCATGGAAAGGGCTGCAAGTATTCAGATTGTCACCAGCAGTGGCTTATGAGAACATTGATTACAAGAAGACATTCTCCATGAGACTTGCTTACCGTTTGATGAGTATCTGGGCCTTATCTACAAGAACAGGGGTTACATGTACCTCTTCAGATATTTTCTGTGTCACCACGTGTCTTTGTCTAGCATTGAAACTTTAGACTGGTGCTGTTAGCAGGTTCAGAGAAATGTGATCCACTCAGGACGGGTTTATTTCTGTAAGAGTAGAACTGTGCGCTAAAAATCCCCCGATAAAAGTTATTTACTTAAAATACCCTGGCTGAACACTGTCTTTAGGGTATTGAATTTTGCTCACCAAAGATTTCTAGCTCTCGGGAGCACACAGTACTATGCTTTACTTTCTGTTCTGAACTACAAAAGCAAAGTTTTAAACATATGCTGTTTTACAGCTGAGCTTCTGAAATGTACAGTGTATATTACTTGCTTATCTTACCATATAGTCAGGGGATTTTGACTTCCTGTCTAGATGGACATAAAAATGGAGGGAATGGGATACAGTATTTCATCACCAGGAAATTAACTTACCTTCTTTTTCAGACAGTTTTGTATTTGTTTTGGTTGACTTCTACAGTAGCATAATGTGATTTTGAAAAGAGCTGTAGAACATGAAGGAGGTGAAATACTGAAGAAATTCTTTTCTGAAAAAGAAAGCCATTTCTGATGAGGACTTTTAGTGGAATGTATCTTCTTTTCCTGGAAAGAAATGAGACAGAGATAAGGAATGTTGCATGTTTCATTAGAAAAAATGTTATTTTGGGAACAGACAGCAGCACTTTGCAAATGGGGATGCAAAGTAGGTTAGAATAAATGCACTGTATTGTTTAACTGTTTTGTTTGGGTTTTTTTTAACCTTGCTTAAGTATTAAATTGCTCCTCTGGCTTGATGGGCACTGTCTGAGCACTACACAAAGCAAGAGCTGCATTTGCACGCATGAGGACTGTGGCTGACGGCTTGTGGGCAGGTCTTGGTTCTTGGGAATGAGCCTTTCACTCAGACTGTTGGTTTTCAGCACTGTGTGAAACAGTGGCCTCTCAGACTGGGTCTCAGAACTAGGGATAAGGAAGTGCTCTAGTGAAAACATAGCTGTTGTTATTTACTTATTGTTTGGTTTGAAGCAGGAGCAAAGCAGCAGATGAATCGAAGAATTTGGAGTCTGAGGAGCTAACTGTGAGCCAGCTGCTCTGCTGCCTTAGAAATGAAACTCAGAAGAGGGAAAAACTTGAGAAGGAGCTGCAGGATCAGAGGGAGAGGTATGAAGCAGGTGCATTGTAACATTTGGAGCTGTTTTCCTCAAGGGCTGCCGCAGTTACCAAATCTGTGACTGATCAGAGATGAGCTGAAATATCAGTGTGACCTGCATGGGAATTTCCCAAGCACTCAGTAGCAATAACTTATTTTTGTACTCCTTACAGGGATAAACCACAGGTTCTCTTCTGTGGGCAAAAGTGTTTCCATGTTTTGTTATTATTTCCTGCAGCACCACAGATCAAGACAAATTACCCATTTCCTCTTAGGTTCGAACTTTCCCCAGGTCATGTCAGAACGATGACTAGTTGAGGATGTTCTCTCCACTCACTCCTCCATAGTTACTTGGTTTTGTATGAACCATCTGTGTGTGGGGCCTTAAAGCAAATCGCTATGTATACAACAGGGATTACAGTCCTCTTCGTGATATTGGTAGGCTACATTTAGCAATGTGTGAGCTTGAAAAAGCTCCTTAGAAATGTCTAAAATAAGTTTGATTTCAAACTTGTCTAAGAGTTTTTCGAGGGAGACCTACATGAGGAGGACCCATCTCAACTCAGTTATATTGGTATAAATTGGTATGATTGTTCAGGTGTAGAAAATTGCCTAAGCATCAACTGTTGCAAATCCCCACTTTGCAGAGACAGAGTAAGCCTTCCTGGATGTTACCTACCATGAAAAATTGGCGTCACAGTAATTGCTTTTACGTAGTCTTCCTAGAAGAGGTAATGAGCCATAGCCAAATGATTCTTAGAAGTCTCAGCCTCTGAAAACACCGAAGGAAAACAGAGGCAATATTCAGTGGCTTCAGTGAACAGACTGACCCATTTCCAAAGGGTTAGCACTTTGGACTGTACAAGAGATCAGTCTCTGTGTACCGAATGTCACTGTCCTTCACCACATCTGCAGACTTACACACCCATTTTAATTAAATAAACATGCTGGGTGTCCTCTGTTCTTCAGGAGACCCCATGAAAGTGCAGGCTTTCCTCACGTGTTTGTGCTTTCAGTTCTACGTCATTTGTGGTTGTAATGTTAGAAAAATTTTAGAACTTGCATGAAATCCATGAATAGTCACAATCTTACTTTAAATATAGGCCAAATCCATCATTATTGGCTCCTCCTGTTTTCCAGACTGTCAAAGCTGGAGAAGGAAACCAGCAGCTGCCTGGAGAGTGGGACACAAACTGAACAGGAAGAGGAGAGTTCAGAGGCTGTAAGTACCTGTCCTCTTAAGTAAAATATCTTGAATTATGGTAGCTTTCAGGGATCAAGATTTCCTAGTCAAGCTCTATTAGAAGTCAGACTCGTGCCAGTGATATATAGTTTCATTTGTTGACATATTTTCTGTTCAGGCATTTTTTACTGATGTCTAGCCCTCTGTAAATTGAAATGCCATCACATTAAAAAAAATCAGTGCTTTCATCAGTGAGCGTGATTGGATTAGTTGGACTGCTGCATAAAATAATGTAATGGTTTATTTTGCAGCTATGATGTAGAAGAATTATCTCATTTTGCTTCTGAGATAGAAAAAGCGTAGTGCAAAGTGCTTTGTGATTGTTTACACAATTATTTTTAGTCTCTTTCGCTTGGTAGGACTGGTGAATGATATTGGTTTGGGCAGCTTGTGGAGGGCGTCCTCTGCATCATCTGTCAGTAGACAGATGTGTTCTATCTGCCTCTCAGCCACACTGGCTCAGCTCCACACTTCTGCTCTGAGGTGGAAGCTGGAAGTGTTCACAAGTCATCACAGATTAACAACTTCTGTGGCTCCAGTTGCCTGAGCGGGAAATGATGGACTTTCCCTGTTAGAAAACTGGAGCTTTTCTTCAAGCAAATAGGACAGCAGTGTGCTATTGTTACACCTGGTATCTTTTTAGCCACAGCCAACGAGCTCATTCCCAAGCTGGACTGAAGCTGTCTGTGCATTTGATGAGATAGGACATTATCAATGAAAATTACAGTGCTAGGACAAACTGATGCTAGTGTGATGATGAGATTCAGATGATTTCTTTAGGAAAGCTTCAGGATGTGCCTCCAGAGAATACAAAGCAGCATGAGTCAAAGGTTTCACATCTTCCAGAGTGTGGGGATATATTTTAAGAATTGAAACTCTGAGGTGTCCTTTGTGTCTTGGGTTGGAGGAGAACCCCGCTGCTGTTTCTTTCCTCCTCTTTTTGCCTGTCTTTAGGATCCTTTCATGACCTTCCTGTTATCTGAAGGCCAAATGAAAGGGCCAGAAACTCTCAACAAAACTGATTTCAGTTTTACTAGAAACTGTCTTCTTGCTTTGCAAAGTTGATTAATGAATGCATGGTAATGGAGCTACCATTTGTGACCTAGTCCAGGTGATCCTGCTCTGGCAGGGGGCTTGGACTGGATGATCTTTCAAGGTCCCTTCCTAATCCTAATAATCTGTGATTCTCTGATTTGGGTTTGCATTTTCTTTCAGACCTGTGCTTCTCATGCATGTGGTGTGATATATGTTATGAGAGAGCCATTTGGCTGGAGGAGTTCCATGTGTAATCAAAATAAACTGCAGTGTGTAAAGACTTCTGTGGTCTCTGCTGTCTGCCCAAAGCAAGAATGGAGGAAACTATAAAGGAAGGGATAATCCCAGTGCAGGATATAACTGGCAGGAAAAAGTCTAAGGTTTTGGTCTGCCTCATCTACTTCTCTACTTCCAAACAGCTGCTTCTGATCTACTACTGCAAAGAGCACACTGATGTAAACAGACTGGAAACCTACCTAGGGACAGATCATTTGTTTAAGTCTCTGATAGACTAACTGTTGTTTAGAGGAGTGGCAGTAATCACTAAGTCTGTCTGCTTTTCTCATGCGTTTTAAATGATGAACTCTTGAGAAGGAAAATGTAGATGCATTTCCCATCTGCATGAAGTGTATTCTAGCCAGCATTGGAAAGTCAGTCATTGTGTGTCTTTGAATCACCTGGATTTTATGAAAGTGTTAAGTCAAAATAGGGTTCTGCCATATTTAGGAATAACTGGTAATTGTGAAGCCTTGTGGACGGGGCCTTATTACCAAGTACAGAGTGTAACGGTCAATACTGACTTATGCTGTTTTCTCTAGAAAAAGAATGATACTTCCAGCTTAACCCTCTTAGCCTGCAACTTTGCTATCTTGAATTGTTCATATATATTTGTCCTTATTTTTTCTCTAAAAGGTTGGCAGTGAAGTAGAAACCCTGAATTTGCAAGTTTGTGCTCTGTTTAAAGAGCTTCAGGAAGCCCATGAGAAGTTAAAGGAAGCAGAAGTGATTCAGAAGAAGCTTCAAGAAAAGTAAGGTTCAGAAGAAAGCAAGTTCTGCTGTGAAACCTAGTATATATTTATTTGTATGGCAACTCCCCCCTTGGGAAACTCACCAGCTATACAAGTATCAGCTCAAATATCTGTCTTATAGAAATGCTGTAAAAGATTGCTCCTTCTTTGTAAGTGGAGATGAAAGTACAGAAATACAGTAACTGTCAGAAAACCTGAGCTGCCAACCTAGTTCTACAAATAGAACCCCAGTGCCTTGAATCTTAAGATTTCGGTTTTAACCCTTCCTGATGTTAAGACAAACCTTTCCTGTTTTCTGCTTCACATAATCAAGCCCTGTTCTGATCTTACGGGAAGAAACTCAGCGACCTAGTTATGTCCCTTTTCACACTAACTGTCTGTGCTTTTGAAGACCAGTTGTGTATGTTATAAAAAGTGGTTGCAAGACCCTCACTTTAGTTGCTTAGTTTCTGTCAAATTCAAACTCCAGTTCTTTGAGATTCATAATAGTAAGAAAGTAGGTGTTGGTTTCAGTAGCTTTGTTTTCTGATGTTTGTGTATAGATTCATTTTTATCTTTCCTTGTTCTTCATCGAAAAAGCCCTTAAAGAGAACACAGACAGATTATTTTTGTATTATGCATAGTGTGCCAAATCCATCAGGAAAAGGTGAACAGGAGAGATGAACCTTTTTTTCTTGTTCTGTCAGGTGCCAAGTACTGGAAAGAAAAAGCTCAGCTGCTGCATTAGAATTGGAGGAGAAGCAGCAGCTAATATACGCCAACAAGAAGCTGGAACTTCAGGTGGAGAGTATGCAGGCAGAGATCAAGCTGGAACAAGCCAAGACACATGAAGAAAAGTGAGTATGACTTGGCTTTATATTCTAAGGAGGTATTGTCAGTGAGGAAGGAAAGTCCAAGGGAACCTGGCTAAAGAGGAATTGAATCTGAAATACAAGATTTGTGTTCTGCACCCTTTGAAACCATGTTATGTTCGTAGAGTCTGAACTAGAAACCTGCGTTCACCTCAGTGTCTGTGTCACTTTGAATCTGGAGTCTACACATCAGGCCCAAACTGTATCCTTTCATTTAGTGTACCCCTCACTTAGGAAAATTTGAGCTGTAGGCTCTGGCTTGTATTTTGCTTTTGTCACAAAGTCAAGGTTGGAATAGGGTCAGGTATAATTTAAAAGCAGAGCAAGCAGAAGAGTGACAACAGCTGTCCCACTGACCAGCAGGAGTAAATGCATCCAGAGCTTGGAGGGTAGGCACTAGTCAGGTGGTGGCAGTGATGGGAGAATGAAATTAGTGAAGAGGTCTACACTCCTTACAGTACATTTGCAACTAGTAAGTATGCAGCAAAGCTGAAGTAAAGAGACTCACTGCCCTGGCTTCTTGCTCCCTTTCATGTGCAAGTCCATGTAAGGAGCATGAAAATGTCAGTCCAAGCTGTACAGAGAGACCGAACTGCCTGAAGGACCCGTCTTCAGCTGCTGGAGAAGCTGCTTATTATCTTTGGAGTCTGTATCTGGTTCTTCTGATGAATTCTGCTTCACTTGAAGTCTCAAGTCTTGGCTGTCTTCCTAAGAGAGGTGTTAAATTTTGAACAGAATTTGTGAGCTTGATATAAAAATATTGAGTGATGGATTCTTCAATCTAAAATGCAGATGATTAGTAAGGACATTTGTTTGGACTCAGTCCATGAGGAGAGCAGCACACAACTCCCTGAAAGAGAGATGTTCAGAGGAGGAACATGATTTTTTTTCTCATCAGAAGTGCACAATCGTTTGCAAGGAGCTGGTGGTGACTTCTTTCTAAATACTAACAGATTATTTAGATTTCAAAGAATTTTTAAGTGTGTCAAACTTTCACCTCTTTTATTGTCATAAACAGGGCAAGATACAGTAGCTTGCAGGATGCATACAGCAAACTCCTTCCTGAACTCACTGAGGCAAAGAAAACAATCAATGAAATGCAACTCAAAGAGGTAAACGCTACACAAGAAGAAATTATAGTTAATTAAAGGGGAGTGGGAAGGGATGGGAGAATGTATCTAGGAACAAATTTGGGCAGGAAACAATTGCCATCCCTTCCACATAATATAGCATGCAACATAGCACCATTGCTCTGTGCTTTTTGTTCATAACTGAGGCTTCATGGAAGTGCCAGATTCTTCTGTATAATTTTGGAAAGTGGGAGACTCCTTTGCAGTGTCCATTAGGGAGTTCTCTTTTACCTTGATAAAGTGTAGTTTGAAAGCTCAAAACTAATCTTTAAATTAAAATAATCAATCACCACTGCTGTCTTAGTCCAGGTTCCTTTGATGACACAAAATGGGAAGCTTTTCCAAGGGCAGGAGGAGTAAGAAGCAAACTTTCACTTCAAGCATGGTCATATTCTGAGTTCATCTCTTAATCATAGTTGTTCCTTGCAGCTGGACAGAGTGGATAAAGCTGTGGTGGAACAGCTGAATGCAAAGGTGGAGCTGGCAGAACAAGCCCTTGCTGTAAAGCAGCTCCAGATAGATGAAATGAAGCAGTTAATTGCTAAGCAAGAGGAGGACCTTGAAACCATGGCTGTGCTCCGTGCTCAGGTATCAGCTCTTCTTCAGAAATTGGCTGGTTCCCCCACCCAATATTCAGAAACCAGAAGGAGCTATTTAATGGCTCTCTCTGGAATACTGAATTACCTGTTTCCTCAATTGCAAAGCATAATTCCCTCACTTGGGCTGCCTTGCAGATCCCTGCAGAGCCCACCATATCCTGTGGTTTTGTAGGAGGAACTGTAGATGCTGGAGTCTGGCACAACAAACAAAAGCTGGGAATAGATGTGTATTTAAAACCACTGTCTGAATAATCATTGCCTATGTTTTAGGGATGATTTTACTCAAACCAATGTATGTAAACAGTGACTAAAATTGGTTGGTCTCACATTTAAGGCACAGAACTGGCATATTGGCCTGGTTCCACTGTCTGTGCCACAGATTTGACTGTGTCATCAGTCAAGTCACCTCCTTGCTGCTTGTCTGCACCTCATTTCTGCCTATGTACAGCAGAGGGCAATAGCACTGTCCCAGACAGGACACCTGAAATATCTTAGACAGAATCCAGAAACTACTGAGTCGTCTTCACCTTGTAATTTAGTGCAGGTCTTCACGCTGCAGTGTACAGGTGTTGTAAGGGTGTTGGACGAAGATGCAGGCTATGATAAAGATTTACTATTTTGGCATATAGTGTATGACTGTGGTTCAGTCTTAAGTTACAAATTTCATTATTTAATTTCTCTGATCAGATGGAGGTTTACTGCTCTGATTTCCATGCTGAGAGGGCAGCAAGAGAGAAGATCCATGAGGAGAAGGAGCAGTTGGCCGTCCAGCTGGCATACCTGCTAAAAGAGCAGCAAAACCTTGAAGAGCTTGGCCGGTGAGAAGTGACTTTGACTGAGCTGCCTTTGGACTGTCTTGTTACCCTGCGTGCTGGAGTTGACCAACATTGTCTTGCTAGCATCTCAGTAGAAAGGCAGACAACTTCGCAGACATTTATTTCTTGGTTAATTTGAATTTTAAAAGAGAAAAAAAGAAGTTGGCTGACTTCTCATTTTAATTTTGTGATAGAATCTCAGTAAGGCGTGTTAGTTCTTACTTGGGTGCCTTAGCAAGATTTCACTTTGCATGATTCATACTTGGTAAATTCTCCCTGCTGATTCATTTGAGTTTCTTTTGAGTTCTGGCCTCAATTTTAGTGGTGAATCTGCAGCTAAGCTTGCTATATGTGTGCCAGGGATATCTGCTGCTTCTCCAGGTGGCAGCAGTAAGTGAGTACCCCTAGTTTCAAGTACCCTGGAATTGCACCATTTTAGCACTTGTAGCTCTAAAAGAAAAAAAAAAGTAGTATTAACCATGTGTCCTTCACTCATCGTGTGGAACCCATGGGTACGAAATAGTGCCCAGAATTTGAAGTTCCATTCCACATTAACTGTGTGCTGAACCCTTTTCCTTGCTTTTCTACTTTAATAAAATCTGCAGTTTGCCCTGAATAGCTGAGAGTCCTTGGAGTTTTCCAGAGGGATGTGCCCCAGATCCCTAGGTGTGTAGCTGCTCAAATTCTGCTGGTGTCAGTTGTATGACCCTGATTTCAGCAGGACCCTGGCACAGAGCAGCAGCATTTCTAGGTCCTGTTACTGAGCAGCAGTTGTGAACTAAATGCATGAGGAGTTGACATGACTGACTTGCAAATCCTTTGATTTATTTTGAAACCTCTTACATTTTCTGGAGACAAAGAGAACACACCGTCTGCTCAGTCTTTTTTCAGAGCCCTTGGCTTATTTTTTTATTCTCAGAAACTCTTTGGCGGAGATGCAGAATCGCCATGGAGCCAGGGCACCAGATCGGGAACACTCACCTCGCCTTGTCCAAAGAGGTACTGTAAGCTCATGGGGCCAGGCCCTGCTGTGTTCGGTTTAAAGCAGTTTTGCTTGGCTGCAAGCGGCTCCCCAGTTCCCCTGTGACTATTCTGGCAACTGGGCAGCTGCAGAGAGCATGATTCTCTAGCTGTTAGGAGCAAGATGCCAATCCTCTCAACCACTCCACAAAAAGAGTGGAAAAATCAAGTAATATAACAGGTAATCATTTATCTTTTCTGCTTGCAGGAACTGGTAGCCAAGACTGGCCAGAGCAGCGGAACATCTCAGTATATTCATGTCCCAAATGTGAAGAAATTCTACCTGATTTGGACACACTGCAGATTCACGTTATGGACTGCATTAATTGAGTGATGCCCTCCAGTTCTTCATCTTCTGGAATTCCACCTGCCAAATACATATTTTTTTTTTCTTCCCACTCGAATAATGCTCAACTCCTACATCCAGTGAAGGAGGTTTTCAGGGTTTTTCTTGTTAATTCATAGGGAGAAGGGTAAAACCCCTACCCTGCCCTGTACTCACTAATCTTGTTTTAATCTGCTTTAGAAAATTAATTTTTATAGGTTAACAATGTGGATATGTTAAAGAACTCCCAGTGTGTCTGCTGCTATGAAATTTTTAAGGAACATTCCTCTGACGTGCTCTGCTTTTACAGCTAGCCCACAGAACGGGGCTGAATCACTGAAGTCAGAAGGGAGATGGGATATATCCTGATCAATTAAAGTACTGTGAGCCTGTAAATTCTTCATCTCTCATACACTGTATATCAGGAAACCAATATGTTAAAAAAGCTGTGTGCGAAGCTTTCAGCAAAATGGAGTAGTGATGTATTCATCAAGCATTTGAAATGAACCCTGCTCTTTCTCCAGATGGCAGTTTTATTGCTGCCCTTGTGACCATTCTAATCTGATGTTAAATTTTTGATGGCTTATGTAACTTCTTGCTTTAGCCAGATGTGGGTAAGGTTTAAAAAAGATAATTTAAGACTGATACATGTAGCTCCTGGTGTACCTAAGTCACTTGGTTTTATAGAATTGTTCATTTTTAAGGTGTTGTGTTGATTCTTCTTTATTATAATAAATTCCTTTGAACCTGTACAGTATTGTGCTAGAAAGCTGAGATGGATGTAACCTAATTTAAAGAGAAGATTATAATGGATTTTCACATCTCAAAATAAATCTATTGCAAATATAAAATTACCTCTGCCTGTGAATATTTTGGAGGCTGACATAGGATTGCAAATACCGATGGCTTAAAAGCTTGTTTAGAAAGAACTGCAGTATATTAGTTCTGTTCTTGCCCTCACTGGTGTTTTTATCTCAACAAAAAACAGTTCCTAACTTGTCATTGCGTGAGGGAGGAAAACACAACTCAACAAAATATGAACCAGCATGAACAGCAGGAAACAACTCGAGCAAATTGCTGGGACCCATGCAAACGAGGGGTTCCATGTCTTTTGCAAATAACTAACATTTACACTGTCGGAAACTGGCAGGGAAAGAAGAAAGAGATGCATGAAAACCACTGAGCAGCCAAAATGATGTTTCCTTATGCCATCATCTTCCTGCTG